ATCACAAAAAGTTGATGTGAATTCTTATGTAAGAAATCATCGGTAGGGTTTCTTGAAATTGTACCAGCAAGTCCAGGCCAGGATAAAGTCTACGAGAACGTGGAATGCTAATAGGTACAATCTGCGTTGTCATCCCGTTTCTTTTAATTGTGGCGATATGGTCTGGCGTAAAAATAAAGTCCTTTCTGACTCTTCTAATTATTTTAGCGCTAAGTTAGTACCAACATACCTCAGACGATTTATGATAAGACGAAAGTATGGCTCTAGGTCGTATGAACTTCAAGACCAGCATGGTAATCCTAAAGGAATATGGCATGTTCAGGATTTGGAACCATACTGCGATCCATCTTCCATAGACATTACTGACGCCGAATGGCCAGCATTGTTATTTACTTACCTTACCTTAGTCTGTTCAACTCCCTACGCTATCTATTATTCTACTTCTTTCATGACGTTATCTTGTCTAATGACCCTACGGGCTGTGCCTAAGAATTTGTCGGTGGCGGGAAAACTGCCGGTGGTAAAAGTCCACCATGTGTCCACACTTTATATCATCTAAGTCGAACAACCCTGCTTAGATAAGTAAATCACTACCAGGTTGAATCTTAATTGTTAGATATTCTCTTTGACTTAGTATAGTCAGTTTGATTCTTGTCTCTATAGGTTATTGGTAGCTCAACTTTATTTATTATCGGCGGTTATCTACTCTGTAGATACCCTCCTACTCCAAGGAGAAGGGGGGTTGTTACATGCCAAAATCACGTAACCTTTTTTCTACTACTTTGATCACCTATCAGTAATTTGAATTTCTCTTTATTGATTATAGAGTACAGATTCCTAGACCAAACCCTTTTTCAATGATTTTCTTTTGGCAAACTTCATAGTTAATTGGTTACATAATTTCACACGTATTAGGTGTATACCTTTCTCTCTCAACGACTCAGTATATTGTGTTGAAATCTTTTGGACTCTAATGTTATACTATTATTAACGACTATATTTTGTGACTTTACACGTACTAGTCGTATAGGGATATTTGGTTCTACCAAGATACCTTCTTCAAGTCCATTCATTTAACCTTCTTTTAATGTTTACTTTCCTATCAAGATACCTTCTTTTGATGACGTACCGACGCGTCCAGCGCCATTTTGCTTTTGCTTTTCCGCTGTGATTTTAGTTGTGTGCGGGCGTTTTTTTTTCGTTAACTTCCAGATGTTGGGGTATTAACGCCCCAAACACCAATTGATGGAGTGCCTTATGTTTAGTTGTGTTGGTTAGGGTACTACCTGTCCATCTTCTAATGGGATTTTGACGTCCAGCGGTAAGTTCTCTTGTATACCACGTCCATTAATGCTTGTCCTGAAGAAGCTTGTTCAATATCTGATTCCTTTTAGTGGAAAGGCATTGTGTAAAACCACCATACACACTCATCCAGCTTTGTTTTGTAGCTGTATCGCAGCCGATTTTGTTGGAAGCTATCCCTCGTCCTTGATAAAAAAAACCTGGTGTGAACAGGTAAAATATTTTAATTGGGTGATTTATAGATATTAATATATAGTGTAATCTTGATTTTGTTTGGAATTTTACATATTCAAATATAGGGCAGGGCCTACATGTCACCATCTTTTGGGCTTATTACATTACATTGATCATGATTTTGAATTTTGATTTGCCATAACTTATGTTAGAATAAAAGATAACTTTCTGAGGGTATATCACTTTTGTACATTCTTATATTTTCTACCTTTGCTTTAAAGTTCGTTTCAAAGAGAATGTACACCGATTTTTCTTACAGTTTTGCGTCTTTTAAATGAGTAGTCAAACATATATTAGAGGGTAGATTTTTAAACAGTCGTCCTCTCTCTAGAGTTTTTTATACCATAAATTTTGGGAAACGGGGCAAGCAGCCCCTACCTTGTGACGTTCTTCACGTCACTGCTCACTGCTGGCCACTGGCTTTTGACCTGAACGTTTGTGAGCTACAGCTGTAACTGGAAGTCGACCATTATCCAGATAAGTTCAGGTTTAAGTGTTAAAACATTTGTAAGGCCTTATTACGTGTACCATGGTAAACGTTTTGCAGGGTTAATTATCACGGTCTAATAATTTTGTTTTGATAATATATTGTGATTTTTTTGAGTACCTATTTTTATTTGGCTCCCTGTATCCAGTTAATTAGGTTTCATCATTATTGTTAGATTCCTTTCTTTGTGTGGTGGTCAGGCAAATTAAGTTCCGAATAACATCTCGGGGATTTGTGACTTACTGCGTCTTGAGTCACTGGCGCTCCTAACCCCCCCCCCCCCCACCTCTCCGCTTTATTGAGCTAGCACCTAAATTTTCACGCCACTTGACAGCTGTTTTGCATTGACTGATCCCTAGATTTCATTCATAGTGTTTTATTAATTCATTAATTAATTTAAAAGAGGAAAGAGGAATCACACCACAATTTCCACTTGTTTATAAAAAAAGCGCGGCACATACTTGTGCAACACCTTATAGGAGAGATTTAGAACTATTGAACAAACATTTATACCTCTATTTTATATGGTATATTAGCTCGGAAGTCAAAATGGTTGTGTTCTGGTATCCTTGGTAACATTTATACAACAAATCCGAGCCAAATTACGACTTTAGCCAACAACTTGCTCTCAACGGAAGCATTTATATAACTGTCGTTTAGTAACTGTTGAAGGCTATATATAGTATCTGCAACTATGTCACAACTTTGACAGGTCAAAATGCATGTGCTCGGAATAGATTTGTTGATTAATATATAGATACACAACTTAATTAATATACGTTTCTGCTGTAATCTTTTTAGATTAAATGCCATAACCATTTTTTTTTCTTCAAGATAAGCAACGCATGAACATTCGTTGTAAAGGTTTAAGTAACTTTCAAACAGATAGAGTAGGTCTAGTACAAATTCGGAGTAAAGCGTTCGACTCTGCTAAATTGCTAAATTTTTTTATAACACCTGCTGATAACGCCAGAGTGTTCAAATAAACAAAAGAAAATATTATGGAGCATGCCACTATTAGACATAACCACACTCCATATTGAGTAAAAAATATAGATCTCTATTGAAATTAATATAATTCTGTTTCACGCCCACATTACAGATAGGAAATGAGAAACACAGGTGTGATTGTGTCAAAATATAGTATTTGTAGAAGATTTGAAGCAGATAAGTTCAGATTTCCATCTTAAAGATGATCAATATTAAAATAAGAACCAATTACGGAGCCCGTAGAAGTGACGTCATTACTTTGTAGGACAATTACAATAAAATTTGCTGCGGAAGTCATTCAATAGACCTATACAATAGTTTAGAAGCTTATCATATAGCTACTTGTGTATCAATACACAATGGTTGATATGACAGTAAACAAGGTGAATGTAATCATTTAGTTTGAAAGTATTCTTCACAATGCATAAAAAATAGTTTAGTCAGCACAAAGTAGAAGTAAAATGAAAACGGAATGTTTGCATAGTTGACAAAAGTTGAATCTTGCACTGACGCAAGGGTTCTTTAGCGGATGCAAGACTGTTTAGAATTTTCTTGTCTAACTGTTACCTGCAACCTTTATACATCTTAAGTGACTGAAGTATCCTATTAGGTGCACTCATTCCGCTTGTATAACTGTTCTACACTAGGAATGATATGACAATGATATGTAAAGAATACTACATCAACGTTCTTGCAACCCTGAAAGGAATGATACTTGTTACTTGGGACGTAGACATTTATACTTCTAGAAATTTTCCATGAGGCCCGATGGACAGCCCTTCACGGATTCAAGGGTTATAAGACGAAATACAACCACAATTGCAATTGCTGTGAGAAAAGAGTTTATACATTAATTCATGTCGCGCAGCGATGTGACAGTAATATATAAGATAGTCCAGAAAAGTCAAACATTCATATCTTGATGGCACACTTATTAGTAGTAATATAGCCGGGCCTTGTCAAGGATACTGCTTATGTTGCTGGCTAGATAATGCACTAAAATTATAAAATATTACCCATTTAGAGGCTCCGTATGAAATTCAGCAATATTGCTTTAGGGTTAGTCCATCCCTGAGTTATCCATTGCTCTTGGACACCGTCAAGTGAGGCTGCAATTGTTACTAATCAGTCAAAATTTCGTTGAACTTAAAGTTATTTGAGAAAACCAATTTTCAGTATCTTTCTGTAGGGGTCTGTATCTTGGTGAGGGAGCCGCGTTGGACATGTTTTGTGGGAACTGGTGTTTAGTATTTATACGAGAAATTGACGTGTTATTCTGGAATAAACTGCACATGGATATCGTATGTAAAAAACAGTCAATTTTGAGACATTTTAGTATTTAGTTACAAATATTCACCTTCATTTACGAGTACTGATTTATAATTTTATTCCTAGCTGAGTGTCAAGATCGGATAACTGCGAGCATTTTGAGCATAAGGCATATGAGGTAACAATAATGGTCCAGTATTGATATAACTGCTTACAGGTTGAAACAGCAGATGTATTCATAAATGTCACGTCTGTTTTTCGCAAAAATGTATAAGTAGAGAATCGGATGATAATTATTCAGAGAGTCCAAGATTTTGGTAATCTCACGCGATGAAGAAAACAGTGGATTTCATACTTATTAGCTGCTATTAAGAATTACGCATGCAACTGTTTCCATCGGTAAAGCCTAAAAATAGGTGGAATTCGATCATACAAAAAAATTTACGATTTAAGATTTAAACTCATACGAGACAAATCAAATTTGAGAAAGGTTTTGGTTTCTAGCAGTAGTGGTTGACGATCTGTCACCGGATGCAGCTTTGCAGGCACATATTTGTATGTATACGTTCCGGAACTCATATCCAATTCAAGCGGAACCTTTTCAAAATATTGTACCTGCAAGTTCGGCGTTATAAATGCTAGACATCTTGTAATTTTTGGGATCTCCACTACAATGTCATTAGATGGCAGCTAACACTACACTTAATATATTTTTTAGGTGGCGGGCTCAGAGGTCAAGATATCTCCTGACATGTCTACCACAATAACCAATGGACACAACACTAGCACCGAAGATTTCACCAAACACATCTTTGGAGGTGTGTATGAATATGTTGTAGCGCACTGACAAAAATTCAATGAATCTTGCAAATGCTTGTATACGGCGGAAATTTGTTTCACTGTTTCATATTAATCTTATAGTGAACGTGTTAAAGAATTTTTTTTGTTTCAGGCACAGTAAAGGGATGTAAGTCGAAAATATTCTTCTAAAAGGTAGTATTGTAGAATAGAATTGTCCTTGAAGTAGGAATATAACACAGTAGTAGTAAAACAGAGTTGAGCTACAGTTACTATGGATGCGAATTCTGATGAAACTTAGTTCTAATGAGTACGTCCGAGATCATCGTTAAGACAAGTCGTGTGCGGTGCCTGATACGATTCTGCCGCCCAGCAAATATGGACGAAGTTGCGAATTTAATTTGCTTGAAAGTCCATTACTGAGGATACTATTGTTAAATGGTGTAACAACTGGGAACACGTCAATACTTAATTTTCTCGTAGAGATGACAAACGAGAAATTGAAAGGTTATTATTGATTGTATTTGTCTCAAGTATCTCATGATCCACATAAAGTGTGCTGATATACAATAGCTTTCAATTTATCGTTGTTGAAATGATCAAGTATGTACTCAAAAGGACGAAGGTCGTACGAAAAATCAAATCTGTTTGAACCTTCAAACGGTTCTGACGACGTCGTGTATACTCTGACGTGCCGGACGCTAATTGAAAAACAGGCGTTTGTTTATTTGGACGAAGAAGTCAAGAATCGTCAGAAAAACATTTCGTCAGAACTCTCATGGTAACCGCTATCCTCTGGTCTTCTGTTAAAAACATGTTTTTCATGTCTTGACTAAATGATAACTAATATACTATTGGATTATTATAAAAATGGTACTGGTTAGTTATTTCGATTATTGTGGTTATGAGAAATACCGAAACTGATCAATTTCAAAACCACCGCTTATAAATTTCATCCAGTATAACTAACATACCCAGGGTGTGGGTCGCGACAATCAAATCCGTAAATAGTAAAATATATGAGGAACAAAAGGTGACACTTACGTATTTCGTTTTACTCAGTTTTCGTTTTTAAATCGAAGCATAAGGCTAGACTTTATCTGTCAAGATTTCGTCCAAAAAGTTTCATAGGAAAATAGACTTGAACAGCTGCTTCCGGTAGAAACAATTCCATTCACGGGCGCCTGCCGGGGGGGGGGGGGTCATGGCCCCCCTGAGAAGCCAGTTGGACCTTGACATTTTTGGGACAATTTTTTGGCTTTTTACGAATTTCCCCCTCCCCCTCAAGAGATTCTGTTACCCCCTGCTCTTCAAAAAGGTTTTAGGGTTTCACAGCAGGTTGCCAATTATCACTCGCCCCCCTTAGAAAAATTCCCGTGGACATCATGTTTCCATTCAGTCACACGAGTGATTGAAACTCCGACAAGAAAATGTCGCGTGCTTAGCGAATACGTCTGACGTTGTTATAATCGGATCAAATCAATTCGTCCATTTGCTTAGGAAATGTATAGCTTTTATTAACCTACATTGACATTCGAAACAATATGATAATCAACTTGAATAAATGGAAGGTTTGGGACAACAACAGACCTAAGCCACACTGACTTTCTTCTTAGAAATCGGATGATATGACGTATTTTCGCAAAATGAATTTGACTATAAAAATATTGTGGCTCTACTTTTCTCTAAGGGTAATTTGAAAATGTAAAGTTAGTAGTCGATCAACGGAAGTCAGATAATAGAGGGCCTCAAAACATATCGAATGAACTCCTATTTGTGTGGTCCGACATTTTATAGTTCAGGAGATATTTGCAACTTTGTGAAATTTCGAAATAAACGGGATAATGAACTTCCAATCGCAGTTACAACTAAACCATTAGCATTAGGGCTGTGATTTTTTAAGCGAGCTAAATGGTTAGTTTTAGTAATGTTTATGTCACTTTTTAACAGAGCTAATTAGAAATTAACGCAAAAAATCTTAAATTCATTTTTTTGTAAAAAATCTCTTCCATCCCTTAACTTTGGAGGACGGTAAAAAACATTGAGGTTGTATTTCATTACTAATTTTATTGTAAGAACTATTTCAATCCATGTAGAATAAGCCCTGACAATTTCAGCTTGCTACGATAAGTGCCTTACCTTAAAAAATCTGTATGTTTGACGCAGGTGGGTATCTATACATGTAAACAAGAAATTCTATTTTACGAGCTACAGTCCAAACGTTTTGATGGATATTCACATATGAGATACTGTTAGATTCCTCCTAGCAGAGCAAGTAATACTGTGTGTATTAACATTTTGTACAATCAAAATGCCGGATTTTTTACGCAAATAGTCAAGTCAGCTTAATGAGCTTGGGCATTCAACCCGACATTACAGGATTCTCCGACACAGCTTTCAACGTCAGTTCGGCGTTAATCTATACTCAACAAAAAATCAACTGGACCATATGAATTGCCCGCCAGGTTGAATGGTCTCATATCTTGCTTTTCTACAAAGCAGTTTGCAAGAGCTGCTAGAGGATGTACCTTTAAAAACGTTCGAAGGCGCAGGTATTTTCGATGCGATGGTGCCCCATGGCACTTTGCACGCATTGTACGGCATTACTTAGGTCTTATGAGGGGATAGTTTATACATCTGAATATACAAATGTCAACCAACTGCGCAAGAAAATTGATGAAGCAAAAATAAAAGTTATGGAAAACGCAAATTAATTTTAAATACAATTTTACTAGAAGGTGTCGCTTGTATATAAAAAATAATGGAGGCCATTTCGAACATGTTCTTTAAAGGTTAGTTAAATTAAATTATCTTCCACCTTTGTCGGTAAATCGCCATAAACAGCGGCTGTACACAATAGGTTCTGCACTTGTAGGAAGTAAGGATTCTATTGCGTTTCTTAATTTATCGCACCACAACAACGAATGTGACATGATACACTCACTCATCGTAGCAAGCTGAAATTGCCAGGATTTATTCTACATGTATTGAAATAGTTTTTACAATAAAATGTGTAATGAAATACAACCTCAATTTTTCTATTACCACCCTCCAAAGTTGAGGGATGGGAGAGATTTTTCACAAAAAAATGAATTTACGATTTTTTGCGTTCATTTCTAATAAGCTCTGTTAAAAAGTGACATAACCATCGATAGAACTCACCACTTAGCTTGAGGCAATCTATCATCCGACCTTCGCTGATCCACTACTAACTTTACACCCTGTCTATATTATTTATAATCGTAACAAGTGTTTTCATCCACGCTTTCCTTCTAAAGCACCATTTAGCAGCAACCTCATCGGCGAGTGAGTAATCGGAAATTTAAATTTGTTTTAAATCGGCTGCTATTTTCATCGTGATTTCAGTCAAAAGAGTTCAGTACGCTTCAGTTTTTAAAAAATTCAATTGTATTTTTTGCCCAAATAATCGTTGGCAATGGCAACTGCTCACATATATACAGTTCTTTTTTTAATATCTCCTCTCCTTTGATTTTTTGAAGGGATCAATTCAAAAAATTAAAACTTGAGGTAATGAAATTGATGCGTGGATACCATATTCAACATCGATATTTCTACAAATATTTGCTTCAAATAGCCCCATAAAGAAAGTCTAAAGGTGTCAAATCTGGTGAGCGAGCTGGCCATTCCACAGGATCTCGACGGCCAATCTAACGACCGGGGAAATTTTTATCTAAATAATTCCTAACTTGTCTGGAGTAGTATGGTGGAGCACCATCTTGCTGGAATACAATATCAGTACCGAATTGATTAGGATTCGCTTCGACGATTTCGGTGATTAGAGGGTCAATAGCATTTGCCAGCATATCCAAATACAGTTCCCCGGTTAAAGTTTGTTCGATGAAGATGATGAATATGATTTCCCAATATCCCAGTCCAAACGTGGATATTGAGTATGACTTTCCCAGAGGACCTGAGGATTGGCGTCACTCCAATAACGACAATTTTGACTATGCACATTACCCTTGAGAAAAAATGTACATTCATCACTAAAACAAATATTTTGGATATAGGTAGGATGCCGTGCAATGGTTTCCATCATAGTCTCGCAGAATTCTGTTCTTCGATCAGGGTCATCTTCAGTTAGCTGATGTACCATTTGAATTTTGTATTGGTGATACTTATTCCTTTTCAAAAGTCTCCATACAGTAGAAGGACAAACCTCACATACATTCGCGATGGAGGAAGTAGACTGTTGGGAATTTACTATGATCTGACCAATTATTTGAACTTGCTTTTCTTACGGGATGGTTGGATGACTTGGGGGCTTTTTGTTGTTTACTCTACCAGTAGCTGTAAATTTAGATACAAGTTCCCTTAAATATTTTCTACAGACATGACGATTCGGGAAACGAGCATTAAAAATCCTTTCGGTCTCGTGAAAGTTACGAGTCGCACCATATATAAAAATCGCTTTGATTTTTTCTTCCAATTGACGAGAATTCACCATTTTAAAAATAGTTCAAACAGTATCTAGCAGTAAAACCGAAAACTAAATAAGAATATTTTAACTGTACAATGATGTTTGTTTTCGTACTGATATTCTTGTCACTCTCAACAAAAAATAACAAAAGTTTTTATCGCTGTTGCTGTGGATACGGCAGGGAATTACAATTATTTGTTAGTGTTAGTGGGTTTGTGCTCAAGAAATTATTAAATGTACCACCATTTTGTAGTAGGCAAAGGTATTGACTTTATATTCTAGGGTTATAAAGTACTCGTCACGAGCTTCAAAATGATGTGCCACATGACTCCCGTTTTCGTATAATCTTTTTTCCAAGATGGCGTCCAGCGGCCATCTTGACATTTTCATCTGTCAAGTTTACTCTAAAATATGGTATCCACACATCAATTTCGTTACCTCAAGTTTTATTTTTTTGGATTGATCCGTTCAAAAAATCAAAGGGGAGGGGGACATTAAAGAAAAGCACTATATATATTCAGCGTGTCCCGAAAAAAGTGTGCAATATTCTACCAGCAGTTTCTAGAGCTTAAAATAGGAAGAAAAGTTTATATAAACATAGGTTGATAAACGTCCCCTGAGGGCGCTATTTCCGAAACGTGTTGAGATAAAGACATAAAATTTGGTATCCTAGCCTAGTTTTTTAGGCTGGATTTAGAAATTTAACAATTTTAGACAGTTTTGTTTGG